ATTAATGTGCATAGAGAAGCCAAGGAAAGATGGAAAAATCTCCAAAAGGCATCAAATTACAGATTAGACATTCTTATAATATGCCAACAAAAGTTAGATTTTATTTCCATCATTTACACTTTCAAAATAAACAGAAAACAAAAAAATGGCGTCTGCAAAAGTTTGGGCACCCTGCAGAATTTATAGCATGCACTGCCCCCTTTGCAAAGCTGAGACCTGCCAGTGTCATGGATTGTTCTTAATCATCGTCTGGGAAGACCAGGTGATGTCAAGCTCAAAGATTTTAAATGCCCAGACTCATCTGACCTTGCCCCAACAATCAGCACCATGGGTCCTTCTAAGCAGTTGTCTAGAAAACTGAAACTGAAAATAGTTGATGCTCACAAAGCTGGAGAAGTCTATAAGAAGATAGCAAAGTGGTTTCAGATGTCAATATCCTCTGTTCGGAATGTAATTAAGAAATGGCAGTCATCAGGAACAGTGGAAGTTAAAGCAACATCTGGAAGACCAAGAAAAATATCAAACAGAACAGAACAGGATTGTGAGAAAAACAATTCAAAACCCACGTTTGACTGCACGATCCCTCCAGAAAGATCTGGCAGACACTGGAGTTGTGGTACACTATTCCACTATAAAGAGATACTTGTACAAATATGGTCTTCATGGAAGAGTCATCAGAAGAAAACCTCTTCTACGTCCTCACCACAAAAATCATCGTTTGAACTTTGCAAATGAACATATAGACAAGCCTGATGCATTTTGGAAACAAGTTCTGTGGACCAATGAGGTTAAAATTGAATTTTTTGGCCGGAATGAGCAAAGGTACGTTTGGAGAAGAAGGGGCACAGAATTGAATAATGAAAAGAACCTCTATCCAACTGTTAAGCATGGGGTTGGATCAATCATGCTTTGGGGTTGTGTTGCAGCCAGTGGCACAGGGAACATCTCACGAGTAGAAGGAAAAATGGATTCAATAAAATTTCAGCAAATTTTGGATGGTAACTTGATGCCATCTGTGAAAAAGCTGAAGTTAAAGAGAGGATGGCTTCTACAAATGGATAATGATCCTAAACACACCTCAAAATCCACGGGGGATTACATCAAGAGGTGTAAACTGAAGGTTTTGCCATGGCCTTCACAATCTCCTGACCTCAACATAATTGAAAATCTATGGATAGACCTTAAAAGAGCAGTGCGTGACAGACAGCCCAGAAATCTCAAAGAACTGGAAGACTTTTGTAAGGAAGAATGGGCAAAGATACCTCAAACAAGAATTGAAAGACTCTTGGCTGGCTACAAAAAGCGTTTACAAGCTGTGATACTTGCCAAAGGGGGCAGTACAAGATATTAACTCTGCAGGGTGCCCAAACTTTTGCAGACGCCATTTTTTTGTTTTCGGTTATTTTGAAAGTGTAAATGATGGAAATAAAATCTAACTTTTGTTGACATATTATAAGAATGTCTAATCTGTAATTTGATGCCTTTTGGGGATTTTTTCATCTTTCCTTGGCTTCTTTATGCACATTAATACAAAGTTTTAGCTGGGGTGCCCAAACTTTCGATCCCCACTGTACACTGTGGGAAAGCCTTTTCTAGAATAAAGGTGTTGAAGCATTAGTACCAGTGGTCCATTAAAGTGTATGTAAACCCATTTACTAATCTCATATATGCTTTAACCTATTACTGTCAAAAGTAACTCTACCAATGTCACCATCAGAAAAAAAAACTCCCTAAGAAACTGTGGACAGCTGCCACGGGGAATATTACTTATAGACAGAACTGGCGGCTAAGAGGCCACAAGACATCAGTCCCACTGACATGCAACAAGGGCTGAAAAAAGGGGTAAAACAATGTTTCCTATGAGAAAAAAAAAATTCCAATTCTTTACAAAACACATTGCTTTATAAAACCGAATGTCATCCAGTTAGGGTTTACATCTACTGTACTTTAATAATAATCTACATGCCAAGTATTGCCCGTTCTAAGTCGCATCTCACTGTGTGTAATAATTAGAAGACTGTTATGTCTACTGTACATTTGCTGACACCAACGCTTTATTTTGGCTGCTGTAGGCAACGATGGTGGAAACACACAGATCAGAGTTTTTAAAGTATTTTTAACTCAGGAACAAAAATGTTATGTATCAAAGCTTACCAGTATTCAGATGGAACTGCTGCCTTCATTTTGTTTACATGTTTGGTGTTTTTACATTTAATTTCACCTGTCCTGGACTACAAAACACCCCTCCTCCTCTCATTTTCACGACAAGGGGAGGAGCTTTCAGCTCATTATAAGAAGTCACAAGCTCACTTGCTTACTTTTTTTTGCACTTATCCATCAGATAACTAAACACTTTCTATTATAGATTTAAGAGCCCAAAAAAGGAGCGAATATGAGAAGTTTACATACTGTAAACTAAGTTCCTTGCACAAGGGCAAAAGAAGTATCTTCCAAGTATCCATCTTCCTGCTTACCAAGGCTTTCATACTGTATACCCATAGTTTCCAAAATACAATGGTATTCGTTTAGTCCAGCCAGAGTTTGTTTCTTGGAGTTCCTTGAGCAATGAACAGTTTCTGCCCCACAGATATGTAACTACTGACAGCAATGATCTTTTTAGCAATTTGTAAGGAGAGCACTCTTTTAAATGACCACCAATGTATGGCCACTCTTTCCTCTGACTACAAATGTAAGGAGTATTTTTCCCACTGACCACCTATGTAAGGGTCACTCTTCATACTATCTACCGATCAGGGGCGGACTGGCAACTCATGGGGCCCCCGGGCAATAGGGGATCATGGGGCCCCTGTGTCCTTGCCCACACTAAAAAAAAGCCTATAAAAAAGGTACCAGGGGCATTTCATGGGGCCCCCTACTGACCCCGGGCCCTCGGCAGTGCCCGAGTGCTCGATTGGTCAGTCCGCCCCTGCTACCGATGTAAGGAGCATTCTTCCCACTGGCCATCAACGTAAGGGTCACTCTTCATACTAATAACCAATGTAAGGAGCATTCTTCCCACTGACCATCAATGTAAGGAGCATTCTTCCCACTGACCACCAATGTAAGGAGCATTCTTCCCACTGGCCACCAATGTAAGGAGCATTCTTCTTACTGACCACCAATGTAAGGAGCATTCTTCCCACTGACTACCAATCTAAGGAGCATTCTTCTTACTGACCACCAATGTAAGGAGCATTCTTCCTACTGACCACCAATGTAAGGAGCATTCTTCCTACTGACCACCAATGTATGGAGCATTCTTCTTACTGACCACCAATGTAAGGAGCATTCTTCTTACTGACCACCAATGTAAGGAGCATTCTTCCCACTGACCATCAATGTAAGGAGCATTCTTCCCACTGACCACCAATGTAAGGAGCATTCTTCCCACTGACCATCACCAATGTAAGGAGCATTCTTCTTACTGACCACCAATGTAAAGAGCATTCTTCCCACTGACTACCAATCTAAGGAGCATTCTTCTTACTGACCACCAATGTAAGGAGCATTCTTCCTACTGACCACCAATGTAAGGAGCATTCTTCCTACTGACCACCAATGTAAGGAGCATTCTTCCTACTGACCACCAATGTATGGAGCATTCTTCTTACTGACCACCAATGTAAGGAGCATTCTTCTTACTGACCACCAATGTAAGGAGCATTCTTCCCACTGACCACCAATGAAAGAAGCATTCTTCCCACTGACCACCAATGTAAGCAGCATTATTCCTACTGTCCAGCAATATAATGAGCATTCTTCCCACTGTAAGGAACACTCTTCCAACTGATCACCAATATAAGGAACAGTCTTCCACTGACCACCAATATAAGGAACCGTCTTCCCACTGACCACCAATATAAGGAACAGTCTTTCCAGTGACCACCAATGTAAGGGACATTCTTCTCACTGACCACCAATGTAAGTGACATTCTTCCCACTGACCACCAATGTAAGGAGCATTCTTCCTACTGACCACCAATGTATGGAGGAGCATTCTTCTTACTGACCACCAATGTAAGGAGCATTCTTCTTACTGACCACCAATGTAAGGAGCATTCTTCCCACTGACCACCAATGAAAGAAGCATTCTTCCCACTGACCACCAATGTAAGCAGCATTATTCCTACTGTCCAGCAATATAAGAGCATTCTTCCCACTGTAAGGAACACTCTTCCAACTGATCACCAATATAAGGAACAGTCTTCCCACTGACCACCAATATAAGGAACCGTCTTCCCACTGACCACCAATATAAGGAACAGTCTTTCCAGTGACCACCAATGTAAGGGACATTCTTCTCACTGACCACCAATGTAAGTGACATTCTTCCCACTGACCACCAATGTAAGGGACATTTTTCCCACTGACCACCAATGTAAGGGACATTCCACCCATTTACCACAATTTAAAGAACACTCTTCCCCCTCACCACCAACAATTTAAGGAGCTTTCTTCCCAGTGACCAACAATTTAAGGAGTATTATTCACACTGACCACCAATGTAAGGAACATTCTTTCCACTGACCACCAACGTAAAGAACATTCTTCCCATTGGCCACCAATGTAAGGGGCATTCTTCCCAATGATAACCAATGTAAGGGGCATTCTTCCCAACGATAACCAATGTAAGGAAAATGCTTCCCAGTGACAGCCAATGTATAAAGTATTGTCTCATTGACAGTCAGGCTAACGTACTAAGAGCTGAAGATATAGTAATTATAGGCAGGGGCTCCCTGAGACCTGAAAAAGTGATTTCAAGGGTTCCTTTATGTTACAAATGTTCAGAAAGGCTGGTTTATCCCCTAAGCACTTCTATAAGGGGGTTAATACCAATAAATATATTTTAGATACAAGTGTAAATACAAAATGTTTTTTCAAATCTAAAAAAAGAACAATGATATGACTGGTGTAGAAAATAAAGTCTTACCAAAAAATGCATTCCCATGTTTTCCCACAGCTTCGGTGATACGAATTATAACAGCAGGACCATTTTTCCTCAATAAGGTGGTTAACAACACAAATATGTCTGTCCGTGTTTGGTAAACTGCATTTTTTAGCTCAGCACCTGAAAAAATAAGACAATGGTTTTTGTCTTGAAAGATTTTGTAGCTAGAGTTATAGAAGGAGACTGAAAACCTACAAAGATATATGGTAGGTTCCTTTACTGGAAATAAGATAAATGCAGTCAAGAAGAAACAGCATACAAATGTAGATGTACTATTACCACTACTACAAAGCTGAGACTTTTCAGGACAATAAACAAATCAGGAGGCATTGAAGTAAATCTGTTACATATGATCATAGTTTTGCAGTACAGACTGAAGAGTGTGGAAATCACTTTGCCAGAATAATGCTGCTTCACTTGAGTAATTAGTAGCTGAAAATCAGCAGTTTCAGTGGCTGGAACATGCAGGCCTTACACTTTGTAAATCCAATTAGGATCTTGTTTAAATCAAAAAGAAAAAAAAAAATGTTTTTCTATAAATAGACGGAGACCTAAAATTTGTATTTGTGACTCAACTGAAATGATTGGACACCAAGAACCTGTCCTGGCTAATTTATCCCAGATAGCTGTACAGATAAGTGGCAACCACCCCAACCTATAACTAGACTTTGCAGTAAGGTGCATATGGAAGGGCAACGCACATCACAAACAAAAGATCTCCCAGCACACTTAACAGCCTGCCTGCTAAACAATTAAATTGACCCTAACAGTTTACATTAAAAACAGGGCTTGGTTTGCACACATTTGCAAACATATGCATAAGCTGCAGGGTCAATATCAAGGCTCCTCTGTGCACTGCGGTCTTAACCCTATACATTTCAGAGTCTCCCAAGTAAAAGCACAAATAGCAGTGGTTAGATTAAGGGCAGGTGTGCCTGGAGGGAAACCACCCCTCCTTTGCTTAGATAGCTGCTGCTATCTGAGCAAGACAGTAGGCATAACAACTTTAACTAGAAAAGCTACAATTTCTGGGGAAATTCTGTGAAGTGTTCTTGCTTTGTCACTCTGCTGCCTGCTCACACACCTGGGTTTCCTATGGCAACTCACTCTACAGCAAGGGCAGAGAAGAGAGGTTTAAAACAAACTGCTCCAACTTGCTCACTTCACTGGCGGTTGCCATCGTCAAACGGTTGTAGTTTAAAAATTATAAATCCTACACCAAAGAGCTTTATATTGTGAGAATCACAAGACCCAGACCTACATTTTGATGCATAGTATGTCTCTGAAATATTAAAAATGAAGGCACAGTCGCAGTTTAGAAATTGCCCTTCAAATTTGAGGTGGCTAGAGTGGAGTTTCAATGAATGTCAATGGGCGGTGTGATTTGCAAACAAATGGTCATATTGTGAAAACTATCAGGACTATGGCTTAGCCGTGGACATTTTTAGTGGCAGCAGGGATAGCTGAACGTTGTGATATAAGATTTGTGTAGGTAGGCTTGAAAATGAGGGAGTGATGGCAGTTTAGAAATCATGTCCTGATTTTTCAGCTCCCACTCTAGCTTTTGTCAGCTCCCACTCTAGATTTGAACATTCCGCCATTCATTCCTATGGGACAAATTTCACCACAAAAACGCCGATATTTTGTGAACCATTCGGCGAAACGTTCCACAAAGTAATAGCACACCAACCGGGAACAATCAGCACGTTTCCGTATATTACTGTCTATGTAGTGTAAAAACTGTGGGAGGAGTTAGGGTGGTAAATTTGGCTAAAATAATAAGAATATATATGTGAGATAACAGTAAGTGGTCTTGCCATGCAAGAACACTTAATTAAAAATTCTACAACAAAACAGCATATATTATGAGAGGAACACAGAGCGTGAGCTTAAAGAATGCTCACTATTTTCTTATTATTATGTTTCTTATGGGACAACGTACATGTAATACTTAATCCATTTCTTGTTATTTATTTTCTTATGGGACAACATACACAACATACTCTATTGGACCTTCCTCAGTGTTCTAAAACACTACCTGTGGTGTTAGACAGGGCACTCCCCCATGGGCGCATGGCCATCCAACACTGCAACTAGCAAGCAGACGGCTGCTTTGATAGTGAGTGCCTGTCATTTTCTCCCAGCACTTGCCCAAGGCCAGCACCAGCCCAAAGAATGAAGAGAATGTTGTGAAGGGGCAGACAGGCACTACAAAGCAAAGCAGCTTGCTAGCTGCATTGTTGAGCGGCCATGTCCAACATTGCACCTAGTGTTTTAGGACAACTGGGAAGATGGGCAAAGTACTACATGTACTTTGTCCCATCAGGAACTAAATCTTGTAAAAAAAAAAAAAAAAGTCTGATAATTTTTCTTTAACCTCCCTAGCGGTATGATTATTTCAGATTTTTGGTGCTGAAAGCGGTACCATTATTTTGCATGGAAATATGTAGTTTTTTTATTGTAGGCTGTAATATTTAGGAATAACTCACTAAAATCTGTCCAAACAGAGTCTAGTAAACATCCCGGGTATGATAAAATTTGAAACACAAAATCATAAATTATAATTTAATAAATAATCATAAAAAATAATAATATAATAATAATACATTTAATTCAATAATATAATCAAACCAAAAACACTGAAATTTGAAATATAGCGACAAGTTCGCACATCACTGAGCAAAGTCGCAAAATTGTTTTCAGTGTCTGATGACGAATTTCTCCACAAATCATTATCACTCAATTCTGCAAGTGGTTCTGATTTACTATCGCTGTTCTCTAGCTGATCTAAACCCGCTTTTGACCTAAAGGGACGTTTTTTTGGACGCCATGGACTTTTCTAAGTTTCAAGGCAGAAAGAACAGTCAAAATGCAGACAGGGGACAGGACAAAGCACTAGGGACAAAATGTATGTGAAATGGGTTGAAACAGCAATGTTTTACTATGTAAAATTTGATTTGAAAAAATGAATTTTTTTAAAATTTCCGCCCGTACGTCCCGATGTCACAGGGACCGGAACACAGAAGCCGGATGCCGGCATCAGCCGGAGGAGATGGCCGGAGACGCTGCAGGGGACACATCGCGGGAGCGAAGGACAAGGTAAGCTCTGCAGGGACTCCCTATGCAGCGCTGCATGGTAAGCCCGAGTGTAGCTCGGGGTTACCGCTCTTGGTACTGACATTTTACCCCGAGCTACATTCGGGAATACCGCTAGGGAGGTTAATGGAGGTGGGTCAGGCTAACAAAGCTAAACATAACTTCACACTTTGGTTGATTTACTAAGGCACTTGGCAAGTTCAGTAACACATATCCCTAGAGCTTAGCGAATGTAGTTCGCTCTGCTGATTTCCATAATCCAATTATGTGCAAACAAATATGCTTTTTTTTTAAATTTACTTATGCCTGATTGGGTATTCTTTACAAAGTGAAGCGTCACCACATTCACTGAGGAAAAGGAGTGCAATTACACTCACAAATAATACACTCTATTTTCCTTTAGAAAACCAACCTCATAGTCGGCAACATCACCAATCAGGCAAGCCTACCAAGTTCTATCTTGCCCCTTTACATTTATGTGCAGTAGGTTTCTCATAGGAGGTGACATCACTACAAACAAGAATCCCCATTCACTTTAGAAACATATGAGAAGTTGTCATGCCACCACTTCACTTCCAATAAACTCAGCCTCGGCAATATGGTATAGTTATATTCAGAAGTAAGAACACATAAATCATCTTGCTCATCCTGGCAATTAAACACTCATTAAGATGTCATCATAGTTCTCATATACTCATTGTTAGTTCATTGTAAGCCCTGTTTGAGAATAAAATGCACAAAAAAAATTATATTTTTCAGTTACAACCTGTCTTAACTGCTTGTTTTTTTTTACTAGTACAATGTGCAGAACTTAAAGTATACAAGCCCAAAAACAACATTTTAATATTTTTCAGCTTACCAGTCCTTTAGATGTAGTGACTGCATTCATTTGTAGGCTTTTTATTGCTTTATTTGTACTTTCCAATGCTGCCACTTTCTGTGCTAGGGTGACAATGCTCATTCACTGTACTGTATCTAAGGAGGAGTAGTGTTGTCACTCCAGGACAGGAAATGGGTAAAGACCATAGACCACTTCCTCCCCATCTCCATATCATAGGGATGATGTATTCTGTAGTTCACAGAGGAAACATGTGAAGCAGCATGCACAGAATAGAACTGGATTTCTGGCAGGATCAAGAGGTAATGTTTGGCACTTATCAAATAGGGAAAACAAAATGGTATATTTAGTAGGCTAAAAGGGAGCAAACAAGAGAAGTTGTTAGAGGTTATGTACCCTTTAAAGTGATTCAAAAAGTTTTTCTTTTAATGACAAATATGTCATTTTTACCTGCTCTGTGCAATGGTTTTGCACAGAGCAGCCCTGATCTTCCTCTTCTCAGGTCCCTCACTGGCACTCTTGCCTCTCCTTACTAAGTGCCCACCATAGTAAGCTGCTTGTTATGGGGGGGGGGGGGGGCTTGCTCCTTAGCCACCTCTGTGTGGCCATAAGACACACAGAGCATGGCTTGGCCCCATCCCCTCCTCACTGGCTGTGATTGACTGCTGTCTATAAGCCAATAAGAAGTGAGAGCCTCGGGGGAGTATAAGGGGAGGGAGTTGCACACGGGTGTTTTTTTTTTACCTTCATGCATAGAATCAGGGGCGTATTTACCACAAGGTAAACAAGGCATTTGCCTAGGGCAGCATTGCCTCCTGGAAGAAGGGACATATGCGGCATGGGGACCAGGTAGAATCCAACAGAGGCTGCAGGCTGCTTAATGGTGTAAACAGAGCCCAACTGTCATTCTCGAGGATGTCCAGAGCAGTGAAAGTGAGTACCTTTGTCTCTGGTGCCGCAGTGGGGGGGGGGGGGGGGGGGGGTTAGTTGAAGGCTCAACTGGCACTGGCAGGCTCTCTTTGCCAGGGGGGTCCAATTTTTGTGTTGCCAAGGGCAGCACAAAATCGATGGATGAGTTTCTACGGGCAATGTTCAAATGAAGGATTCACAAATATTGAAGGAATTTTGAACCTGTAATTCCCTATGCAATGAGGCCTCCACCGATTCCATGCGAACAACGTAGAACAATTGGATAAAGAGATAGTAGGGGGTTCTGGGTAGATCCACTTATGTAAGAAATAGTTTTTCGTGTCACTAGGGATATGTTAGTAAAGAGCTGCTCCCAGCCCCTTGAGATTTTATTGCCTGGGAAATTGATGAGGCCAAAAAAAGCCCATTCAGCGCTGGAGGTAGGTAGTTCACTAAGTATGTGGTAGCATAATGCACTACGGAGTTCCAGAAACGTCTGATCCCGGGGCACGACCAAAAAGCATGGAACAGATATGCAGCTAATTATCAACATAGCATAACTCAAAGTGTTACTAACCCTGCAACAGTAAAATCAGTCTGTATATGACGTAAAGCATGCTTGCTTGCTATACTCACTATGAAACCTAAGGGGTTAATCCTCTTCATTGTGTAAAAAGGATGTTTGATCCTGTCTTCTCTGATCCTCCCCTACTTCTAATGTCCCCAATCCATCTGCTGAAAGAACAGAGCCTTGGGGCAAGCTGCACATGCTCAGTTTGGTGTGTATTGCTAGAGAGTTTTGTTCTTCTCTTAGGAGAGTGCATGTAATCAGCACAAGGCCAATCAACACTGTCCAGAGAGAGGGTCAGGGGTCCTGCAGCCTCACAGGACAATCAGGGGAGAATAAGAACTCCTCCTACAAGCTTTAACCAGTGCTCTGCTGACCACTGATAGAAGTCACAAGACTGCTATATACTGCTGGTAGGAAAATGTCTTTAGCAGTTTATATTTACTAAAATACTGTAATTGGAATTTCATGCTATGAGTACTGTGGGAGACCAGATACAGTGAATGCAGGGTCCTGGGTTTAGTAACACGTTAAAAAAAATGTAAAGATTGCTGGTTATCCTCTTAACTGGTTTTTACTTGCTTACAAATCCATACTTGCTCTCCCTGCTTTGTAATTTTTAGAAGGCTGTGGAGGAATGGTTAACATAACTAACTTTGTCTGTACTGTGTGCACTGTTCTTCATTATTGGCTGGAAACTAGATTTGAACACTGTCTATTCTAACAAAGGGCTAAAATTGTAGAAACCGCCATCCCGCATTGTACAGTACGTATAATGAGGGCTAGCTCACTCTCAGTGGGGAGAGACACTGTAAGACTGTCCAGAAATTCTTAGAATCATCCCTTATATCTTCTCCTTAGAAACATTTAAAAGGTAAAACAAATTGCAAAAAAAAAATTTTCAGGTATGCTGTGTGAATGAGTACATATAACAAACATATAGCAGGGTTTTCTGAAACATTACTGCAAAAGTGGAAATATGCTTTAAATGATTTCAAACATTATTCTATATGTATTCATCTTAGCGGAAAGCCAGGCAGCTGTTCAGCTGGGACCAGTGTAATCTTATCTATGGGATGAAGGTGTGAAACCCTCCAGGAAGTAGACAAGATAACATCAACTTCAACCAAAAAAAATAAGATACTAGTTGCTTTGTATAGGTCCCCAAAGAGCACAAGCAACTCCAGCTAAATATGAAAGCCTGACCTTTAGCATCACAACGTTGCAAGGAAATAAAAAGAATCCATATGCAGATTTTATATTCATTATCCAATGAGTATCTACTGTATATTTGCTTCCGAGATTTATAGGGAAGTCATTTCAATGATATCATACCTGTTTCTCAACTTAATATTTTTGTTTGATATCATTAAGAAAAGTTCTGTTTTATTTATCCATCAATTTCAGCCTTTCTAAATCAATTTGAGTTTCAGCTCAATAGTTATTCACTAAGGTCTTATTGTACACTGGGTGCTTAGCCCCGATGCGTGAGAAGTGTTTAGGTACTGGTGGAAGGCACATTTGCACCATCTAGCCCCCACTGTCAGCAGCCTGTTAAACTCTGAGAGGCTAAAAGCTGTTACAGCTGAACAGTGCACCAAGCGGTAATAATGTTTGGAATAGTATATGCCCATGGATGAATACCCAGAATGCAGAATGCTTGTGTTCCGGGCATTCATCCCTGGGCGCATACTGTCCTGTTTGTACAGCTCAGTACAGCATCCAGCCATAGCAGCTTTCAGCCTCTCATAGAGTTTAACAGGCTGCTAGCAGTGGGGATGGACAGTGCACTTGGACCTTTTGCCTGCACCCAAATGCCACAGTCTCATGTGCCAGGGTTAAACACTCAGTGTGCATGCAGTCTAAGAAACATTTTGTGTGGAACTGAAGAATAAACAAACCAAAGGTTAAAATGGTACATGCAAGTGGCCCTTGTGTAAGTGTTTCTTTTGTCATCCACACAATATAAGAGATCAGTATCTGCTTAAGATCCCTCATATCTATGAAACATGGCTATCCCCACACATGACCAAATATATTGTAGAACGAGCAGCCACAAGAAAGGGAAATTTTGATAGTCCAACTATGCAGGCGTTTGGGCAGTTTTAGTCCTAAACCTTTTAAATGTACAATTTACACAAATGTGTTCAGCTGGCAAATGAAGTAAAGCATAAAATGACATACCCAAGTGTTTTTTATGGTGTGTAAAGAGTACTGAAGTCAAAGTCGCCAATAGTGGCCTTATTATTTCATCTTGGATCAACAAACTAGCATCGACAAGCAGATATGAATGCAGAAATCCTGAGAGTGAGGACAGGTAGTCAAGCAGAACCAGCACCTGTATAATAAGAACAGACACAGATTTAATAAAAGTACATATAGTTTAAATAATAAAATATTAGTTAAAGAATAATAAAATCCTAATGGTGATAAACCTAAATTCAAAATACCCACGCTTACTAACCAGGATCATGGTTTTTTTTAAAGTGCTTTTATTAATTTCACTTTTCCAAGAGTGCATTCCATCTCCGTGCATAGCTCCAAGGCATTATCACGCATCTCACAGTCCTAGTATTAGCATATGTATATAATAATAAAAGAGTGAGCGTAATCCAAAAAAGCAGCTAAGCACTCTAAGCAACCAATAAATACTTAGAGTAATATCAACAAAAGTGCAGCGCTAAATAATAAAGTCTGAAAAATGTCCACTAAAGTCTAATTCATAAAAACGTACCAGATGACAAGAAATCAATGGTGGTGATCCGTGAAGAAAAGCAGAAATGCGCACTCACCAGAAGACAGATATAAGTAAGCGGTATGCGTCAAAGCCCATGGATCCTCAATCAAGGAGAAAACTGGTCTGGTCAAAATGGGTTGATCTTCCCTGAAGGATGCAGAGCTTATCCAAAGCAGATCCAGGTAGCCAGAGTCTCCTACAGCTGGATAGACGGAAGGGGTCATCTGCTTAAAGGGGTCTTCCTCCTCTTGGTAAAGGCCTGAATTCTAAGTAAAGGACTCTGCAAAAAGGTACTCCTCTCAGGGAGTCAGGGAAGGACGCCCATAGTGTAGTATTCATAGAATCAATTGCTTTATTAAGGACAATGATAACAACTTTGAAAGACATGTATCATCCAGGTGTGAAGGTTGAACTAACCCTAGGAGATAAAATGATGGCCGCCTGGCCTCCACGTGGAACCAGTCCATACCTCTGATGAAGTGCGTGCACACGTAACGCGCAAGGAAGAGCCTGGACGTCGAGACGCTACGCCGCCAGAGCCACGTGGAGGCCCGGCGGCCATCATTTTATCTCCTAGGGTTAGTTCAACCTTCGCACCTGGATGATACATGTCTTTCAAAGTTGTTATTATTGTCCTTAATAAAGCAATTGATTCTATGAATACTGCACTATGGGCGTCCTTCCCTGACTCCCTGAGAGGAGTACCTTTTTGCAGAGTCCTTTACTAAGAATTCAGGCCTTTACCAAGAGGAGGAAGACCCCTTTAAGCAGGTGACCCCTTCCGTCCATCCAGCTGTAGGAGACCTCTGGCTACCTGGATCTGCTTTGGATAAGCTCTGCATCCTTGAGGGAAGATCAACCCATTTTGACCAGACCAGTTCTCTCCTTGATTGAGGATCCATGGGCTTTGACGCATACCGCTTACTTATATCTGTCTTTTGGTGAGTGCGCATTTCTGCTTTTCTTCACGGATCACCACCATTGATTTCTACTTGTCATCTGGCATGTTTTTATGAATTAGACTTTAGTGGACATTTTTCAGACTTTATTATTTAGCGCTGCACTTTTGTTGATATTACTAATATTAGCATACCTTAGCCCTGAGCCTAGATCTCTGCTGTCCAGTCATTTCTCCTGCAGCCAATGATAATGCTGCAGATGTTGGCCATTCAAGCTGAACATGTAGGCATGTGTGCAACACGGTGACAACACTTTCTGTACTGAGATCTAGTGATTGAGCTTTGTCACACTATCATGAGAGGATCCTGGGGAAGACCTTTGCTGTCGTGATCATCAGGTCTAATTGCAAGAAAGCAAGGCAAAACAGAAATCGTAAAGAAATAATAATACAACTATAAGTGCATTGCACTCACTTTGACAGCCATGTGTCTCTTTAATAATGATCACTGCCATTCCCATTTTCTGTAATCACTTCCACTCACTGTATTTCTTGCCGATTGCCATAGAAAGTCTAAGCTCAAACACTGCAGCTGAAATCACAGCTCACACACAATCCCTTCATTTCAAGTAATGCTGTAAAAGGAATGCCCTGCAAGACAGAAGGGATCCTGACCTAATAAAAGAAATCTCTTAGCTTTACTACAGCTAGATAGGACTACCAAAAAGCCAAAGGCCTTTAGAGAAAAATCTGAACAGGCACCTATCATATCTCATACAAGCACCTTTGGCTTTTTGTTCAGCATTTAGGATAATAATTTTAATAACATGGAATATAGATTCTCCATCAATAACTCTGACAAGGCTTTCAGAGGCTAAAGTAGCAGATAAGGGAACGGAAAAAGACTTGTGAAAGAAAAAGAAGCACTGCATTTAAAGCACTGAAAGTAATGTAAGTAAGGAAATTGGTGCCAAAAAGACAGAATAAACAGAAAAAACTACCACACCAAGCACGCTTGCTGGGTAAACATACAGAGTGTTCAGTAATGTGGGCCATTAACAACAGTAACAATTCTAACAAGTAACCAGAATCTTAGAATCTGAAAAAAATTATATATTCTTAGAATTTGACACAGCAGGTTTTAACATTAAGGTTTAGTTTAAGCTGGAACAGCCTTTTGATTCCATTTTTACTTTCTACATTCTGCTGCTAGAAAAAAATCACCAGAAAAAAAAACACTAAAACAGGCTGTCTGCCTGTCCCCTATGGAACTGCTCCTAAGATTCCACAGAGGGAAATCAGCAGCCTCTTAGTGATCCTGCCACTGGCAATGTTGACTGTGGCAGGATCGCTTATGGCAGGGCTACCTATCTGATAGTAGGCTTACATGGTTACTTAGACTGGGGAAAAAAAAAAAAAAAAAAAAAACGTTCCATAGGTTCAATTAAAAAAAATATATAGAAACTTGCATCCTCAGTTGGCCTAGAGGAGGTCAGAAAAAAAAAAAAAAAAAAACAACCAGCATACAAACTGTTGTCCTTCTTGACCCCTAAGCCCTGGTTCACATATACAGTCAGGTCCATAAATATTGGGACATCGACACAATTCTAACATTTTTGGCTCTATACACCACCACAATGGATTTGGAATGAAATAAACAAGATGTGCTTTAACTGCAGACTGTCCGCTTTAATTTGAGGGTATTTACATCCAAATCAGGTGAACGGTGTAGGAATTACAACAGTTTGCATATGTGCCTCCCACTTGTTAAGGGACCAAAAGTAATGGGACAGAATAATAATCATAAATCAAACTTTCACTTTTTAATACTTGGTTGCAAATCCTTTGCAGTCAATTACAGCCTGAAGTCTGGAACACATAGACATCACCAGACGCTGGGTTTCATCCCTGGTGATGCTCTGCCAGGCCTCTACTGCAACTGTCTTCATTTCCTGCTTGTTCTTGGGGCATTTTCCCTTCAGTTTTGTCTTCAGCAAGTGAAATGCATGCTCAATCGGATTCAGGTCAGGTGATTGACTTGGCCATTGCATAACATTCCACTTCTTTCCCTTAAAAAACTCTGGTGGCTTTTGCAGTATGCTTTGGGTCATTGTCCATCTGCACTGTGAAGCGGCGTCCAATGAGTTCTAAAGCATTTGGCTGAATATGAGCAGATAATATTGCCCGAAACACTTCAGAATTCATCCTGCTGCTTTTGTCAGCAGTCACATCATCAATAAATACAATAGAACCAGTTCCATTGGCAGCCATACATGCCCACGCCATGACACTACCACCACGCTTCACGGATGAGGTGGTATGCTTAGGATCATGAGCAGTTCCTTTCCTTCTCCATACTCTTCTCTTCCCTTCACTCTGGTACAAGTTGATCTTGGTCTCATCTGTCCATAGGATGTTGTTCCAGAACTGTGAAAGCTTTTTTAGATGTCGTTTGGCAAACTCTAATCTGGCCTTCCTGTTTTTGAGGCTCACCAATGTTTTACATCTTGTGGTGAACCCACTGTATCCACTCTGGTGAAGTCTTCTCGATTGTTGACTTTGACACACATACACCTACCTCCTGGAGAGTGTTCTTGATTTGGCCAACTGTTGTGAAGGGTGTTTTCTTCAACAGGGAAAGAATTCTTCGGTCATCCACCTCAGTTGTTTTCCGTGGTCTTCCGGGTCTTTTGGTAATGCTGAGCTCACCAGTGCGTTCCTTCTTTTTAAGAATGTTCCAAACAATAGTTTTGGCCACGCCTAATGTTTTTGCTATCTCTCTGATGGGTTTGTTTTGTTTTTTCAGCCTAATGATGGCTTGCTTCACTGATAGTGACAGCTCTTTGACAGCAACAGATTCCAAATGCAAATAGCACACTTGAAATGAACTCTGGACCTTTTTTCTGCTCATTGTAATTGGGATAATGAGGGAATAACACACACCTGGCCATGGAACAGCTGAGAAGCCAACTGTCCCATTACTTTTGGTCCCTTAACAAGTGGGAGGCACATATGCAAACTGTTGTAATTCCTACACCGTTCACTTGATTTGGATGTAAATACCCTCAAATTAATGCTGACAGTCTGCAGTTAAAGCACATCTTGTTAGTTTCATTTCAAATCCATTGTGGTGGTGTATAGAGCCAAAAATGTTAGAATTGTGTCGATGTCCCAATATTTATGGACCTGACTGTATGAGGTTTCCCTGTGGCTGCGTAGCTCTGCACAACAGCCCATTCATCTGAAAATGCACAGAAAAGGTCCCTCTTCAGAAACTGCGGCCGCAGAGAAACAGCATAGTGCTGTGTAGTTACCAGTGCGTAGGGGTGCCATTAGGATTAATGGTACCACCATGCATCTGCTATGCGGCAGTACATCTTTCTGTGTGGGTGGTTGCATCTGCGGGAACAGGTGCGGTTCTGCAGCAGGAGCCACCCACACAAATGTTAACCTAAGGCAAAAGGATACTCCCTGGATCAACAGTGTCATTTATATTATACAGCTAGTTAGTATTTGTGCATGTCTAAATTCATGCAGTATTGTAACAACATCCTTTATCTACCTACCTACCTTATGTTATCTATATATACAGTGGATATAATAAGTCTGCACACCCGTTAAAATGTCAGGTTTCTGTGATGTAAAAAAATGAGACAAAGATAAATCATTTCAGAACTTTTTCCACCTTTAATTTGACCTATAAACTGTACAACTCAATTAAAAAAACAAACTGAAATTTTTTTTTAGGAGGGAACCATAAAAAACTAAAATAGTGTAGTTGCATAAGTGTACACACCCTCTTATAACTGGGGATGTAGTTGTGTTCAGAATTAAGCAATCACATTCAAAATCATGGTAAATAGGAGTCAGTACACACCTGCCATCATTTAAAGTGCCTCTGATTAACCCCAAATAAAAAAGTTCAGATGTTCTAGTAGGTCTTCACTGACATTTTCTTAGTCGCATGCTACAGCAAAAGCCACGGTCTGCAAAGAGCTTCCAAAGCATCATCATTAAAAGGTATCAGTCAGAAGGGTACAAAAGAATTTCCAAGGTATTAGATATATCATGGAACACAGTGAAGACAGTGACATTACCAACAACCGGATGTCCCTCCAAAATTGATGAAAAAGCGAGAAAAAAACTGGTGTGGGAGGCTGCCTAGAGGCCTACAGCAACATTAAAGGAGCTGCAGGAATATCTAGCAAGTACTGGCTGTGTGGTACATGTGACAACAATTTCCCGAATTCTTCGTATGTCTGGGCTATGGGGTAGAGTGGCAGGACGGAAACCTTTTCTTATGAAGAAAAACATCCAAGCTAAGTTTGAAGTCTCCCAAAAGCATGTGGGAAACTGTGTTATGGTCTGATGAAACCAAGGTTGAACTTTGTGGCCATAATTCCAAAAGATATGTTTGGCGCAAAAACAACACTGCACATCACCAAAAAGAACACCATAACCTTATCCATCACCAACAGTAAAGCATGGTGGTGACAGCATCATGCTTTGGGGCAATTTTTCTTCAGTTGCAAACTGGGGCCTTAGTCAAGATAAAGAAGGAATTATGAACAGTTCCAAATACCAGTCAATATTGGCACAAAGCCTTCAGGCTTCTGCTAGAAAGCTGAACATGAAGAGGAACTTCATCTTTCAGCATGACAACGACCCAAAGCATACCTTCAAATCAACAAAGGAATGGCTTCACCAGAAGAAGATTAAAGTTTTGGAATGGTCCAGCCAGAGCCCAGACTTGAATCCGATCAAAAAATCTGTGGGGTGGTCTGAAGAGGGCTGTGCACAGGAGATGCCCTTGCAAATTTGGAGTGTTTTTGCAAGGAAGAGTGGGCAAATATTGCCAAGTCAAGATGTGCCATGCAGATAGACTCATACCCAAAAAGACTGAGTACTGTAATAAAATCAAAAGGTGCTTCAACAAAGCATTAGTTTAAGGGTGTGCACACTTATGTAACCATATTATTATTTTTAGTTTTTTATTTTTATTTCCCTCCACCTAAAACATTTCAGTTTGTTCAACCGAGTTGTACAATTTATAGGTTACATTAAAGGTGGAAAAAGCTCTGAAATGATTTATTTGTCATTTTTTTACATCACAGAAACCTGACATTTTAGCAGGGGTGTGTAGACTTTTTATATCCACTGTACATACACACTGCTCAAAAAAATGAAAGGCAGACTTTGAAAACACAGATCTCAATGGGGGAAAATATCATGCTGGATATCTATGATGATATAGACAGTAATATGTTAGTAATGTAAGGATGCCCCATTGTTTGATTGAAATTAAACTTATGAACCTACAGAGGACTGAATTCAAAGACACCCCAAAAAATCAAAGTGAAAAAATGATGCAGCAGGCTAGTCCATTTTGCTGAAATTTCATTGCAGCAACTCAAAATGGTAGTTTGTATGGCCCCCCATGTGCTTGTATGCATGCCTGACATCAGGGCATGACCCTAATAAGCGAATGAATGGTGTCCTGGGGTATTTCCTCCTAGATCTGGACCAGGGCATCACTGAGCTCCTGGACAGTCTGAGATGCAACCTCGCAGCTGTGGATGGACCGAAACATGATATCCCTGAGGTGTTCTATTAGATTTAGGTCAGGTGAGCGTGCGGGCCATTCATTGGTATCAATTCCTTCATCCTCCAGGAACTGCCTGCACATTCTCACATGAGGCCAGGCATTGTTGTTCACCAGGAGGAACCCAGGACCCACTGCACCAGCATAGGGTCTGACAATGTGTCCAAGGGTTTCATCCCAATACCTAATGGCAGTCAGGGTGCCATTGTCAAGCCTGTGCGTCCCTCCATGGATATGCCTCCCCAGACCATCACTGACCCACCATCAAAACGGTAATGCTGAACGATGTTACAGGCAGCATAACATTCTCCATGGCTTCTCCAGACCCTTTCACATCTGTCACATGTGCTCAGGGTGAACCTGCTCTCATCTGTGAAAAGTACAGGGCACCAGTGGTGGACCTGCCAATTCTGGTGTTCAATGGCAAATGCCAATCCAGCTCTATGGTGCCAGGCAGTGAGCACATGGCCCACTAGAGGATGTCGGGCCCTCTGGCGACCCCCATGAAGTCTGTTTCTGATTGTTGGTCAGAGACATTCACACCAGTGGCCTGCTGGAGGTCATTTTGTAGGGCTCTTGCAGTTCTCATCCTATTCCTCCTTGCACAAAGGAGCAGATACCGGTCCTGATGATGGGTTAAGGACCTTCTATGGCCCTGTTCAGCTCTCCTAGAGTAATTGTCTGTCTCCTGGAATCTCCTCCATGCTCCTGAGACTGTGCTGGGAGACACAGCAAACCTTCTGGCAATGGCATGTATTGATGTGCCATCCTGGAGGAGTTGGACTGCCTGTGCAACCTCTGTAGGGTCCAGGTATTGCCTCATGCTACCAGTAGTGACACTGACCCTAGCCAAATGCAAAACTAGAGAAAAAAAGTCAGAAAAGATGAGTAGGGAAACAAATTTCAGTGGCCTCCACCTGTAAAACCAAAGCAGCTGAAACTGATTAACAACCCCCTCTGCTACTTAACTAACCAGATAAATATGTCAGGAGTTTAATTGACTTGATGCTATACTCTGATTAAAAAGTGTGTGTGTGCGTGCGTGCGTTATATTTTTTAAACTGAACATTTTTGTATATTTTGCCATGCTGAAGGGGAATTTTTGAGCCCTCGAGATGTGTGAGTTGTTTTTATTTTTGGTTATTCTAATATGAAATAATTAAAATTAGCTTGGGCTCTACAATCATTGGTGTGTTGCTTTTGCTACTTTTTTATTGTTTGAAAGTAAACCTCCAGCCAGAGTCTACTGCTGGTTTCTTTAGTGAATCCATAATGATCTGGAAATCCTTGTAAGCCATCATATATATAAAAAAAAAAATCAGTAAAAAAATGGACTCCAAACCATTATAGTTTCCCTATAAAACAATGCACCAATTTATTTTGGCTGGGTGAGAATAGACAAATTAAAAATGCATATTCAAATAAGTGAATGATGTTAAAAGAACAGCTATATCTTTACCATTTAATTGTGCAAAGTAAGCCTTTAATCACATACAAATAAAAAGGAAGAATTACTGTCTATGTCAAATCTCAAAGACAACCCTTTTCACCTTTGTAAGAAGAAAAGGTACAATAGTGTATTTACTCAATACTGTGCAGAAAGCGAAACCGACCTGTGACTTTTTTTTTCGAGCGTGACCTTCAGGGGTGAGTGAAGCCTTGAGATCAGAAAAGCATCTTTCGAGTACAGCTGGCTTTATGAGACTGTAAATGAGAAAACACGAAGGAAAATCAGGAGCTTCTTTTACACAGTCAGATTACATTCCAGAGCAAATACAGCAAGGACACACTAAAATATTCAGGAAGAGCTGCCCTGGGTTCTATAATTTCTCTTCTACTAGGCATTATTATACAGCTGGCCATGCAATAAAAAAATAATGGCATGCACATTTGTGCTTGAAGATAATTTTCATGCGAAGCTATTATAACATGATTTACAAATGTGAAACTCACACAAATAGGAAATACAAAATACACTGTATGAGCAATGCAATGTAATAGTAGAAGAAACTGTGTAGGGAGTCATTCCTTATATCAGGAACTATATATGCTGGAATTTTATGGCATTTCTCTGCTACTAAGAATGACCCCAAGAAGCAGTTTACATACAGATTAATGCAGTGCTATATAGATACAGCCTGCATTAGCAACCATGGTTTAGCATAACAACATACTTTCACATCTGCCCTAAAGCAGAACTGCACGAGGTTAAGCAGATGTGTGCACTATTTCATTTCTCATTTGAATCATGGGACTTTTTACTAGTGCCAAGCATAAAACACACAAAACACTTAGTAGAAGGGTTATTTTCTAGGTTTGATCAAAATTCCCCACTCTCTCCAAAATTCCAGTAAAAAGAAACACACTGGGTTACAGAGAAAATGATTTCACAATTTTGCTTATTTGTTTTACCCGTGTCCTCCAAGTTCTAAGAAACAATCATTTGCTTTCAAAATAAGAGCTGCTTGGTACAGGAAGGCTATTTCACCTATAGGGAAAACATTGCATCTGTAATGGTTTCAGAAGCAAAACGTCATACTGGTATAGGTAAAGTTATAAAATAGAACGCTCCAATAAACTATTGTTACAAATGCATTGTTTTCCAACATCAATATACATGAAAGAACACACAGTTGTATGCTCATAGACATCCATAAAGACAGCCATTACAAACAAAAAAATAACTGTTTCACAATTGCTACAATGAATTTTAGTTTACATCCACCACAACATGGAATATGACTTCCAGTATATAAACAAAATTAAGCTACATACAACACTAGAGTCCTGCATATTACAAATTGCTGGAGTGGATTACCCAACACCCCAGTGTATTGAAAGATGGAAGCCTCGGGTGCAATGTTTTAAGGGGCACAACTACCCCCTTTCTCAAAAGGTTTCCACCTGCAATGGAGGCAAAAACTGTAGAATTGGTTTTCTGCCATAGCCCATTCTGTCATTGTCCACCTTTAAAAAATTGCAAACAGACAGATTCCGTAAAAGAAAGTCAAACTCTAACCCTCTATCCTGCAATAAAGATTTCCCTATACTGATATGGATAAGGAGAGTTTATGGCAGGCATAAAAAAGAGAAACAGAGAGGACAAGCCAAAAGACATGGAGGTTATTGTAGACTTTAGCTGGCTAAAGACATCTGATTGCATCACATTAGTATAGGTGAAACTCAAAAAATTAGAATAACGTGCAAAAGTTCATTTATTTCAGTAATGCAACTTAAATAGTGAAATATATGAGATAGACTCATTTCATGCAAAGCAAGATAGTTCAAGCCGTGATTTGTCATAATTGTGATGATTATGGCTTACAGCTCATGAAAACCCCAAATCCACAATCTCAGAAAATTAGAATATTACATGCAATCAATAAAACAAGGATTGTACATAGAACAATATGGGACCTCTGAAAAGTATAAGCATGCATATGTACTCAGTACTTGGTTTGGGCCCCTTTTGCGGCAATTATTGCCTCAATGCGGCGTGGCATGGAAGCTATCAGCCTGTGGCACTGCTGAGGTGTTATGGAAGACCAGAATGCTTCAATAGCGCCCTTCAGCTCTTCTGCATTGTTCAGTCTCATGTCTTTCATCTTTCTCTTGGCAATGCCCCATAGATTCTCTATGGGGTTCAGGTCAGGCGAGTTTGCTTGCCAATCAAGCACAGTAATCCCACGGTCATTGAACCAGGTTTTGGTGCTTTTGGCATTGTGGGCAGGTGCCAAGTTCTGCTGCAAAATGAAGTCAGCATCCCCATAAAGCTTGTCTGAGGAAGGAAGCATGAAGTGCTCCAAAATCTCCTGGTAAACAGCTGCGTTGACCCTGGACTTAATGAAGCACAGTGGACCAACACCAGCAGATGACATGGCTCCCCAAATCAACACAGACTGTGGAAACTTCACACTGGACTTCAAGCATCTTGCAGTTGCAGTGTGTGCCTCTCCATTCTTCCTCCATACTCTGGGTCCTTGGTTTCCAAATGAGATGCAAAAGTTGCTCTCATCAGAAAAGAGGACTTTGGACCACTGAGCAACAGACCAGGTCTGTTTTTCTTTAGCCCAGGTAAGACGCTTCTGATGTTGTTTGTTGTTCAGGAGCGGCTTGACAAGAAGAATACAACATTTGAAGCCCATGTCCAGGATCCGTCTGTGTGTAGTGGCTCTTGATGCACTGACTCCAGCCTCAGTCCACTCCTTGTGAAAGTCCCCAACACTTTTGAATGTTTTTTTCCCTGACAATCCTCTCCAGGCTGCGGTCATCCCTGCTGCTTGTGCACCTTTTTCTTCCACACTTTTCCCTTCCACATAACTTTCTATTAATGTGCTTTGATACAGCACTTTGGGAACATCCAACTTCTTTTGCAATTACCTTTTGAGGCTTTCCCTCCTTATGGAGGGTGTCAATGATGCTTTACTGCACAACTGTCAGGTCAGCAGTCTTTCCCATGATTGTGATTCCTACTGAAACAGACTGAGAGACCATTTAAAGGCTCAGGAACCCTTTGCAGGTGTTATGGCTTAATTAGCTGATTACAGTGGGACACTTTGAGCCGAGAATATTGCACCTTTTCACAATATTCTAATTTTCTGAGATTGTGGATTTGGGGTTTTCATGAGCTGTAAGCCATAATCATCACAATTATGACAAATCACGGCTTGAACTATCTTGCTTTGCATGTAATGAGTCTATCTCATATATTAGTTTCACCTTTTAAGTTGCATTACTGAAATAAATGAACTTTTGCACGATATTCTAATTTTTTGAGTTTCACCTATATAACCTAAGAACACAGATACTGTATTCCGTATTGTATTGGACAGACAGCATGCAAATCAGACACTAGTGCTTGAGGTAATTTTAGCCGTATTCGTGCATCTGCAACAAGATCCAAATTTGGATGTTATTACAAATAGAAAAAAAGTATCACATACAGTACTCAATTCTTCAGATACTAGTGTCATCCAGTACATTGTTGCTTCCCAAGATCTGTTAGTGCCTGTTATCTAAAGGTGCTCACCACATTCTGATTGTCGGCCACTCCCCAGGAACATATCAAATGTGGCCCGTAGTTGAAAGTAAGTGCTGTCACTGCTTTTTCACTGTATTCAAAATCCACATAGCATATGAGATGTAGCACTACTCCCTATTATCACTATTCCTGTAGCAATCAGCCTCTGCCAAATGCCAGTCATTACTAAGCACTGCAGCTCGGGTCATGCTACAGTGCACATCTGCGCCAGTTATGCATGCTTAAATAGACTGCTGGACATTTAGCCTGTGCTTAAACAATAGGTTCTGCTTAACTTCTGTCTATTACACTACTCCTTTCATGATTTGAATTGTATTGTAACTCTGTTGTGCATCGGTTATGATTGCCTGCTTTGGCTCTGCTGCTCTCTGCTCAGACCATCTGCCTGTCAACTAGCTGGCAGTCAACCTTTGCAGCACAAAAGGATGCACAGAACCCCGTGGAAAACTTCTTCTACAGGAAATAGGAGTCACAAGAATTTATAACATGCAGAAAATTATTATGACTAACCTTTGATAAATATCCTTTCCATTTAAAAAAAAAAAAAAAAAACAATCCTTTTTACTTAAAAATTAGTGATAATAGCAGAAGGTTGCTGCACCTGCTCTGCTGAAAAAAATACTCACGGATAGTATAAAAGAAAGCTTCTTATTAAATGTATCACTTTAAATGTGTTATTTAAAGAAAAGCAACATGAGAAACAATTCTGTAAACTATATAGGTTTGTATGCATGAACTGTTCGCATGATACACCCACACTCAGGACTGTACAGCATATTTTGTAAGAACAGTGACCACTGGGTACGCCCTTCTATAACTATTAACCAGCATCATTCTGTAAGAGAAATAGGTGCTACATCCTTTTGACAGACCATTCCTGAAAACCATTTATTCACACACAACTTTACATTTCAAAAGAAGTCAAAACATCAAACAGCCATTCCTTTCACATGAATTATCCTGAAACAAACACAAAATTACCCCTTACATGCCTACTAACAGCAGAACTACTTTCTGATGGGGTATTAACTTTCTACCTGAGGGAATACTGTAGATCTGTACATTAAAGTGTAAGTTTACATTTTGATGAAAAAGGTGAACTAACTAAATATTCTGGCCACCCCTCAGGACGCCACTTCACATAGCAGCCCATGATGCCCCATGCTGCCAGAATAGTGGTCCGTATACCGTAAAACAAACACTGAACTGAATATTTGTTTTAATGCCCACAATGACAAGCCATCATTGGTCATTGCAGCCATGTGACAATGCTGACCAACGAGAAGTGCATCTGAGGCTTTTTCTTCCAGTAAGGTTCCCCAGAAGGCAGAAGTGCTTCTAATTGGTTAGTGCAGTCACATGGTCACAATGACCAATGAATGCTTGCCATTGCCATGTATTAAGGTGTAAGACAGGGTTTTACAAACTTTTTAAACAAAGGATCACTTTACTGTCCTCCAGACTTTAGGGGGGGGGGGGCAGTCTGTGGTCAATGTAAGTAAAAAAAGCACATAGCGTTCGTGGTCAGTAGGAGGAGGAATTGTGCCCCACAATGAATATTAGTAATGGGACCAATGCTCTATTGTCGGTGTCAGCAGGAGGAGTGGGGCCCCATCCTTGGTGTCAGCGGGAGGAGTGGGGCCCCATCCTTGGTGTCAGTGAAAGGAGTAGGGCCCCATCTTTGGTGTCATTGGGAAGTATAAGGCCCCATCCTTTGTGTCAGTGGGAAAAGTAGTGCGCCATCATTATTTGTAGCCGAAAGACAAATACACAAACCTGCTATAGCCTTCTGACCATAATCATTCTGATAAAAAAACTGCTTCAAACTATTCGTCATGGAATGGTTAACATAGCACAGCAAAAATTTAATCCATTAGCATTACAAAATGCAGATTATGTGAAAGGTGGCCTTACTATATCAATAAGGTTTGAAAAAATTGAAATCAACCACTTGTTTGTACCTTGTTAGATCTGTCAGCAAATGCGTCTTAGACAAAGCGTTGACAGTATCTTCAGAATTCATTACTAGGAGATTCTCCAGTAATCCACACACTGCTGACAAGAGGGATGGTGTGACTAAGGAGCACTGGTCAGAGGCGCACACAGAGACGCAAATCTCTTCGGAGCTCAGAGATGCCGTTCTTGCTTTGTTGTTTTGACCTGTAGTGAACAGTCAATACATTAACAAGCACAAAAGATAATAAGTATTATATATCAAACACTTCCGCTATCACATCTGTACATCCCTTACAGACCAGAGCAATTCTTACATTTCTGTTACGGGCCTTCTATTCAGCAACAACTTTGTCATTACATAAAATAAGGAAACAGATTTTTTTTTTTTAGGGCAATTAGGGTTTTTTTTAGTAATTTTGTAACGCAAAAATGTATTCAATAGACAAAAAATGTAATATAACTAGAAAAACACACACTTTTTTTGCTTTACTTTGATAGTGTTATTGTGAATACATTTTATTCTATAATTCTTCCTGTCTAAAATTATGATCCTGGAACAAAGAATTGCAAAGATTTTTAGAAATGAAATAAAGGCTTTTTTTTGCTTTTTTTTAATACAACACCAAAAATAATTAACAAAACATCAATGAAGTGGAAGTGAAGTGGAAACTGCAGTTCAATGTTTCTAAATAAGAAAAAAAATGCACCTAGGAAAAATAATCCCTTGAGAGAGTACAACATTGGGGGTACAATGTTGGCCAGCATTACAAAGGAAAAGGATTTGTAAGGACTTATTTCAGATGATTGGAAAATGAGCAAAGAGTGTGGCCAGGCAGTGGGGAAAGCAAATCTAATTCTAGGATGCATCACTAGAGAGTTCACCAGCAGGAGGAAGGAGGTTCCCCTATATAGATCTTTAGTGAGACCTCATTCAGAAAATGTTTTCCAGTTCTGGAGACCTTGCTTACAAAAAGATATAGATAGTAAAGAATGAGTCCCACAGACGGGTAAAAGAAAAAAAAAAAAATGGTGAAAGGTCTGAGGGATAAAACATATCAAGAAAGAGTTCAGGAACTTAATATGTATAGTCTGAAGGAAAGAAGGCAGAGGAGAGACATGAATGAAACCTTTAACCATTGTATATAAACGGCAGGGTGGTGGCAGTCCAGGGGCGGGTTGCCGTTCATAAACGGCGCCCACCATTTTGGACTGTGCTCGCTCCCTGGAAGCACGCAGCACCGCGATCCGGTGCCTGCCGTGTCCTTCGGACACAGTGGAACACCGATCGTCGTATGGGACCTCTGTGTGAGGTCTCGATCATGTGATCACTGATTGGCCAATCAGTGATCACATGCAGAATAGTAAGCAAGATGTCACTTCTGACATCATTGCTTACTATGTGTGAAATCTGTGAATGATCACAGAGGTCACATGGTACAAGGCTATTCACAACAGCTCACGCAGTAGTTCTCAATGGCTGCAAGAATGCAGCCAGAGAGAAGGAGAAATGATTGTTTTTACAGCCTTTATGGGTGTAAAAGCAATCAGTGTAAAAAAAAAAAAAAAAAATCTTTATCACCCACCACAAGTAGTACAGTGTCACCATGGTGACACTGTACTTCTAGGGTGACAGTATGTACAAAAAAAAAATATTAAAAAAAATGTAAAGTTTTTTTTTTAAATTATAATTTTTGGTTATAAACTAATTTGGGTTATTTTTTTTACTAAAAAGAAACTGAATAAATTTTGGGCAAGATTTATGATGAAATATTATTTATTTGCAAAATTTTATAAGAAAAACACTTTTTAAAAAAAAATGTTTTGGACTTTTTCATTTATATAGCAAAAAAAAAAAAAAATCCCAGCGGTGAATAAATACCACCAAAATAAAGCTTCATCAGTCTCAAAAAATGCTAAAAAATTTATATGGGTACAGTGTTGCATGACCGCGCAAATTGTCATTCAAAATGTGATAGCGCTGAAAGCTGAAAATTGGCCTGGACAGGAAGGGGGTAAAAGTGTCCACTCTGGAAGTGGTTAAATACATCAAGGGGGTGAATAAGGTTCAAGAGGGCAGTATTTTCAATATGAAGCCAACATTAAGAACATGGGGACATAACCTCAAACTAACTGGAGGAAAGTTCAAAACTAATCTTAGAAATTATGTTACTGAAAGCGTAGTTGAAGCCTGGAATAGACATCCTGCAGAAGTAGTGAGTCAGTCTCCCTGGTCTTTTTTTCTGACGTAACTTTTCTATGTTTCTATAAATAACAAAAAGTTTATGATTCGAAAATGAGAAACAAGCATCCTACAGCAAAAAGCCCCTGCAATTCAGATAAGGGGAGTGCTTTAGGTTTAGGGGGCTGGTGTATGTGACCACGCTTCATGTTACATTTGAAATGAGTGTAACATGAATAAAGGCATAAAAATAGGACTATGCCTTTGACTAACATCATCTGTGGTTTGAAGTTCAACTCTTTGATCTTCAAATTAAATAGAGTAAATACAAAAGTAAAGAGATTAGTCAGTATGTCTTTATCCTCCCTCCTAGATTGTAAGCTCCAAGGAGCAGGGCCCTCCTTTCCCTCTTGTATTGAACTGTATTGTTGCTGTATTGTCTCCCTTTATATTGTAAAGCGCTGAGCAAACTATTGGCGCTATATAAATCCTGTATCATAATAATAATCTTGTGTCTAAACCAGCCTTTCTTAGCCTCTTCAATGCAGAGGAAGTCGTGAAATAACTTTCTGGTCTCAGGGAACCACTGCAAAAAATGATTATATCTACTCTATATAACTCATGATACATTAGTTTGATGGTCAGTAAGAAGAATGCTCCTTGCACTTGTCAATGAGAAGAATTACCCCCTTACAGATAGCTAAAAGGATCAATGGCGTCAGTAGGCACTTATCTGAGAGTCCAAAATTGCTCATTGCTTAAGGAACACTCAGCAACATCTGGAGGAACCATAGAGTTCCATGGAACTCTGGTTCAAATACACTAGTCTAAACAGTCTTGATTTGGCTTTAGTAAATCTGCCCCAAAGTCTATAGACAGTGCACTTTACAAGTTTTCCCCAGAGATTGAGTGAATGTTTTTAAAGTGTTACTAAACCCACAACAGTAAAATCAGCCTGTATATACAGTAAAGCATGCTTGTTATACTCACTGTGGAACCTAAGGGGTTATACTTCTGCATTGTGTAAAAAGGCTGTTTGTTCCTGATTGCTCTGTTCCTCCCCTTGGTTAACTGACCACATATTATCTTCTGATAAGATAGACTGAATGGTAGGCATGCTGCACATGCTCAGTTTGGTGTGTGTTGCTAGAAAGGCTTTCTTTTTTTTCTTAGGAGAGTGCATGTGATCAGCACAGTGCCAATCAGCACTGGTCAGACAGAGGTCAGGGGTTTTGCACCCACCTAGAAAACTCATCCTACAAGCTTTAGCCAGTGCTTGGCTGAACACTGATAGAAGCCACCAGACTGCTCTAACTGCTGATGAGAAAAGGTATTTAACAGTTTATATTCATTAAAATAATTGCACTTCCATGCTGTGTGTACTGTGGGAGAACAGATATAGTGAATGCAGGGTCCTGGGTTAGTAACATTTTAACCAAAAGACGCCCGGCCAATAGCCGTTTGGCGGCCGGCAAAATGCTGTAGATTTTCGGGGTGGACGCCAAATGGCGTCCTCCCGGGCATGCGCAGTTTTGGCTCTTGCAGAGCCAGCCAGTGGTGCTATCTGTCACCGGCCGTGTACGTCGGACACAGCCGATGACAGATCTGAGTACCGGCCCCCGTTGCCGGTACCATGTGACCTGCTGTGACCAATCACAGCAGGTCACATGACAGTTGTATACAATGTATGGCTTCATTCATGCCATCCATTGTATACTAGTGTCTAGCTCTGAATGGTCACAGCGATCACATGCACATGTCATGTGATTAGCTGTTACCCAAATCACAGCTAAGCACAAAAAAAAAAAAAAAAAAACCCTAAATGAATCGATGTCATTCAGGTAAATGCTTGCTTATAGCAAAGTAATTCTTTGCTATAAGCAAATTATGTAAAAAAAAAAAAAATACTGATCACTTCCCCATAGTACAATGTTACTATGGTAACATTGTACTACTTTGGACATAGTGAAATATGAAAAATAAATCTTATAAAAAAAAGAAAAAATATAAATAAAAATTTAAAATGAATTAAAAAAATAATATATATTTTTTTTTTTCATACTGTCAGTGTCCCTGATCACCACCATGCCAGTTATATGACGACGCTGTAGTGCACTGGTGACAGTATGTAAAAAAAAAAATAGTGAAAATACGTTTATTAGTTTTTTAATTTTCCGAAAATCTATGACAAAAAAAATACAACTTCAAAAAACTCGACATGCCTCTTATGAAGTACGTCGGACTGTCTACTTTGCAAAAAGGGGTCATTTGGGGATATCTGTACTGTTCTGACATTCTTGGACCTCAAGAAATTAGATTGGCCATCAGTACGTCAGGACTGATCAATTTTCAGATCTATACCATAGTTTGTGAACTCTATAATTTTCCTACAAACTAAAAAATACATTCTAATTTGGGTTATTTTCACCAAAGACATATAGCAGAATACACCTTGGCCTAAGTTTATGAAGAACAATTATTTATTTGCAAACTTTTATAACAGAAACAAAGAAAACCGTGGGTTTTTTTTTCAAAATTTTCAGTCTTTTTTTGTTAATTTAGAAAAAAATAAAAATCCCAGCGGTGATTAAATACCACCAAAAGAAAGCTCTAGTTGTGTAAAGAAAATGATAACATTTTAGTTTGTGTACAATGTTGTATGACCGCGCAATTGTCATTCAAAGTGTGAGAGTGCTGAAACCTGAAAAATGGCCTGGCAGGAAGGGGGTAAAAGTGCCCGGTATTGAAATGGTTAAGCTCTATTAATATCCATCATCCAATCATGTGCAAGCAAAAATGCTGTTTTTTTTTTCCTTGCACTTGGTTGGGTATTCTTTACAAAGTCAAGCTTCATTCACTAAGCTCTGGGGAAAATAAGTGTAACTGAACTTGCAAAGTGCACAATCTATTTGCCTTTAGTAAGTCAACCCCATTGTGTCCAACAGCAACGTTTGCCAGGGAATAGAGAGATAGGAGTAAGAAGGACAGTGCTTTATTCACTTCAATTAACTTTTTTGAGCTTGTGAGGAATGCTCAGTGACCATAACTGGTTAAAATACAGCAACACTGTTCCTTTGTTCTAAAGGAGCCTCTGTACATTCCAATTAAAATGTTTACTAAGACAAATGGGAAAAAATAGGTCTTTTGAATATTTTCTCATACTACGGGTTGTTTTTCAAGTGCATTAATATATTCCAACACAATATGTTAACACAGAGATGAATGAATCTCAGCAGTGTAGTATATTTTAGGATCAAAAAGAACAAATACAGCAATATACTACCTGGTAGCTGGGGCTTAAAATTTCAAGTCCTGAGCTACTAGCCAGGCCTTAAGAGTTACTCGCCACCAACAAACACACACAAACAAACAAACAGAGACACCTGTACATACACACAGACATGTACACACACACAGAAACATACACACACACCTATAGACATGCATACACACACAGGCACACGTACAGACATGCATACACACAGATACATGTACATACAGAAATACACACGCAAAGACACATGTACATACATACACAGACACGTGTACATACAAACACAGACACATGTACGTACATACACACAAACACTCACACATGTACATGCACACACAGACACATGTACACACACAAATACATGTACATACACGCAGACACATGTACATACATGCAGACACATGTACAGATAACACACATGTACATACACACAGACACATGTACATGCATACACAGACACACACATGTACACCCACGCATGCTGTTAAGTGATCTCTCCTCTCCCCTGAAGCCACCAATGGCTGACAGAGGATCATGTGACCAGAGTGAGCTGAAATTAGGTAGGAACACACACACACACAGCCCTATAAAAAGTTGCAGTACTTTGTTGTTCACTCACAGAGCCGGGTACTGCACTCTAAGGGGAGGCAGAGAGCACAGCACACACTCCTTCCTTTGCTTTCACTGTACTCAGCTATTGAGCAGTCTGATGGCTCCCAGTGACAATGACAGATCCGGCCTGAGCTCCGAGCCTGCTCAGCAAGACGGCCCTGGGGGACACACTCGCCCCCACCATAATTTCCACTGGCCATTGACGAGCAGGCGAGTGGAAATTTCAAGGCCTACCATAGTAACTACCATATATTCTATTGCAAAAAAATACAAGTTTAAATACACAACAAATGCATTTATTCACCTCAATGAAAATACTCAAACGGAATAAGTACAGAGCTATCTAAGCCATTTCTCAGCAAACATACTAACTATTATTAAAGTGCCATCATCCTGTGATAAGTCCTGGTGACCAAATATGTGGTGCTTCACCAGAACCACTGGTATTCTATTTGGATCTTCTGCTTTCACATTGGTATTCTTAGCATGCTTTGCCAACATCACAAGTCACAGGCATCAATACCTTTCCTATTTTGCATTTTAATGTCCAATGTTTACATCTATACAGAGTGACAGAGAATACAGTAGTGTGGACAATTGTGATCTATGTTCTTATTGACACATCAGTACTTTTGAAAAGCTTTTCTATGTGTTTTATTTGTGCCCTTTTATTTTTATTTGTGCTCTTACAAAAGCCAGTCTTCTTTGTATTTCTTGACTGCTGCATCCTTTTTTGTAAAAACTCAACTGAACTTTCACTTTAAATCAGCTGAATATATTAGAAGTGCAAAGTCTTATATTTTGTTCTTTAGAGAACAGCCACATCCTGAGTACAAAAGCCTTTTCTTTTCCAGTATGCTGCACAGGAGGACCACTACTCTGTGGGTGTAAGCAGTGGTTTGTCTGCAGAGGTCTGATGCACCCTCTGCTGAGTCCAAGCTAGAGTTCTCCAATTGGCAGGGAACATGGGCTTTGTGGATTTGAATGCTGTCTGTGTCTCCACTGCAGAGGTTAACTCTCGCTTGCTGCCCTTATCACAAAGGATCACAGGGAAAAGGAAATGATGGGAAATCTTCCCAACAGGGACACAGAGAGCAACAAAAACACATTCTTTGTAAAGTGAAGAAAAGGTAAATCCTGTCATGCTAGGTTTTCAGTAGTCCTGAAACAGTTGTGTTGACAATTTATTAAGTGTATACCTTGATTCAGTCCTTGTTCACCCACATTTTCCAAAATGGAAGAATCAGAAATTGCAGCCTGGGGATCTGAGCCACTTGTGGTAGAGGATCCAGTATGAATCTGGAAACCAAAATAAAAATGTAAAGTGAAACAATTAAAAAAAAATATGGACATGTAAATCAGATCTAGATTACAACCTATGCAGACACTACATGCATCTGGCCAAAGACAGCTTGATGGGCCAGAGGGCACTGTGATGAGTATTAACACCTCATTACAGAAATCAAGGGGTATAGCATTTTCAAAGTAGATGCTTACACAGGAATTCTCAGGGTCTTCCCTGGGGGCTTGGAAAAGGTAAGTATATAGTCCTTGCGGAGTCTGCTATCAAGCGAATCTATTATTTTTAGGGTCGATTCATACCAGGACTCGCACAGGAACACGTTCATGCTCCTGTGTGATTTGAGCGCAGTGCGTTTTCAGCCATTAATTTGAATAGGCTGAAATTGTACCATGTTGCATCACAGGTAGTGCATGCACTACTTCTAAAAACTCACTGCAATGGGTTTGCATGGTACTTCGTACTTTGCAATCCAGTGAAGGCATACACATTGTGTTTGCTATCTGCATTTGGGTGGTGTTAACTTTACACTGACACCTGCTGCAGACCGCAGCCACAGCATGTTTTGAATGTGGTGCAGGCAGGTTTCCCACTCCGCGTTCCAGTATGAACCATTGCCTCACTGCAAGGAAGGACTTTCAGTTTTTCCAGAGTTGGACTTTAACTGGTTCTTGCATGGACTGGTTTAAGTGCAGGCCACAATGACCCAGTCAACACCTGCAGTGTGCAGATCAACAGGGTACAAATAAATACCGCAATGGGCATACACCGAATGTGATAAAATAAAACAAAACACATTGCTTGCTAGGTCTTAAAAAATACAAACTTGTGTATTTTTTTTTATTATCGATTTCAGAAATAATTTGTTCACTCAGCTATAAATGCTAGCATTTTATTGATTTTTTTTTTTGTTATTACAACGTTCATAACATTTCTCAGCAGGAGTGGAACAAATAAACTTGGATGTACAATTAGCATGACATGACTTGATTATTTCTTTCCAAAATTTCATTCCACTTTGGTGGATGTGTGCGAACCAAGAGATTGCACTGTCAAAGTGTTACAGCCAGTGTCTGCTTATCTTCCCTGGCACTCTGATAAGGACTGTGTAACTATGGCTGGAGAAAGCTGCTGACTGACAACGGCAAACTTGTTTGGAATGTTTATTTTCAAACTGAATTACATTTCCTGTCTCTCGTTGCTACTGTGGTTTTGTGTAGATGCTTAGAAAAAAAAAATTTCAAGGTTTCAGAAAATGATCTGAAATCATACATGGCAAATTACCATGTATGTACCCAAAGGAAACCTACGGGTGCAGGAGTATCCATCAATTGTTTTTTCTCAGCATTTCCAAGCATCAACAGAAGATTTAAATACCTGTCCAAGCCAAAGGCACTATGCAACTGTCTGATCTGCACAATGCCACAAGCACCATGCAATCGTCTGATTTGCACATTGCCACAAGAGCCATGCAATTTTCTGCTTTGCACAATGTCACAAGCACCATGCAATCGTCTGATTTGCACATTGCCACAAGCACCATGCGATCATCTGATTTGCACATTGCCACAAGAGCCATGCAATTGTCTGCTTTGCACAATGTCACAAGCACCATTTGATCACCTGATTTGCACAATGCTACAAGTGCCATGCGAACGTCAGATTTGCGCAATGCCACAAGCGCCATGCGATCGTCAGATTTGCGCAATGCCACAAGCGCCATGCGATCGTCAGATTTGCGCAATGCCACAAGCACCATGCGATCGTCAGATTTGCACAATGCCACAAGCACCATGCGATCATCAGATTTGCACAATGCCACAAGCACCATGCGATCATCTGGTTTGCACAATGCCACTAGCACCATGTGATTGCCTTCTTTGCACAAGGCCACATGGGCCATGCGATTGCCTGCTATGCACAATGCCAAAGGCACCTTGTAATCGCCAAATCTGCACAATGCCAAAAGTGCCAATTGCCAGACCTACACAATGCCAAAAGTGCCAATTGCCAGACCTACACACAAAAGTGCCAAAAAAGTGCCAATTGCCAGACCTACACAATGCCAAAAGTGCTATACGATCCTCTGATTTGCACAATGCCAAAAGCATCAGGTGGTCACCTGATTTGCACAATGTTGTAGGCAAGGAATGTCAAGGGACCTTTCCATGAAACAAAAGATCTCCTGTGACATTGGCTGAATCTGCCAAGCACCATTTCAGTCAGATTCTCCACTACTTCTGGGGGGAGGAGAGAGAGAGAGGGGGGGGGGGGGGGCCTACTTGCTTGCTGTTAAACCATCAAAGAAAAGTTAAAAAAAAAAAAAAAAAATTTTTCCTGGATTTTTGAAGAGGGTATCTACTGGTCACATAAACACCGCTAAACAATAAGAAAGAAATATGGCGTTTTTCTGAACTTCATGAATGTGAAAAGAGGAGTGTTTAAAGAAAGTATAAGGTTTGCCCCTTTTACATGACTTTACAGATATTTTAGGAATGCAATAGACTTACTATTGTACTTAAAGTTGATTCAGAACCAGATGTGCTAGAAATGCTGGGTGTGCTGTTCCAAAAATAAAGGGAGTCTTCAGAGCCTAAAATGAAAAATAGTTAATTGACATCATACACTTGCAATGTAAAAAAAAAAAAAAAATTATAGAGCTGCATAAATCACCAGAAAACCCATATTCCAAGTTTTCATATAAGCTTTAGCGATGATGTAAATTTTGAAAGTCATTTTCAATGTTTTGAAATCTACAACTATCATAAAAATGATAACAGGTGAACATGGTATGAAGGTACTTTCTGAGGAAATTTATGTCCCTGTCTCCCAATTGTTATTCTACATTGTTACAACACTCACAACCTTTCAATTGGGGACTACAAGCAACGGGGCCAATGTACTTTGCACAGGAATTGTCCAGTGTTGCAACGATCCTTGCAACAATCGTGCATGTCAACAGAAAGAGGCTGCTGGAGATCAGCGGTCTCACATCCAACAAGGGATAGAAAAAAATGTTGACAACAAGCAATATATACAGTATATATTGTAGCCTAAATACATACATAAAAGCAAAAATGGAAAAGCGGGCTGAGAGAGAACGGCAGAGGCTTCTGATTTATATGTTTGTTCAGTTTCATAGAAAAAGTGGTAGAGTCATTAGGTGAGCTTGACAGTCAGGTGAGGTCAACAAGCACAGCCACCTTTCAAAAGAAATGTTTACTTTAAAACACACGGTAACTTCCAAATGCTATGTACAGTTCCCAGGCTTCTGCTATGGTCAGTTATACAGCAACTGCCCTTGCTGTAGATAGAGCTCCAAGACTGAACTCTGCATACGTATGACTACTGAATTCATTTGGGGAAGTTTAATGATTGTGTTCAGTTGCATGTAGACAAAAACTGGAAGGCAGCCCACAAGCTTCAGATGATGAACCTCACTGCTGGAGCCTAAGAGATATAGGAGCAGCTATATTATAATTAAGGCTGACATGAATAGAAGGGAAAAATTGTCCTATGTTTCTCTGTTTTATGCTGTACAGTGGACAATGTGCAATGAATCCACTTGAAGAAAATACAAATTAAACAGCAGTGAATCACATCTATTCAAAGAGGATATACTATAGTCTTGAAACCCACAAACAAAAAATGGCAGACATTTTTTCATCTTTTAAGAATCCTGAAAAATGTAACTACACACTGACCTGTCATTATATGTTGAATGTACTGGGCCATGACAGTGTTTCTGCATGAGTAGGGATGAGTTATTTACATTCCTTATCTTTGTGTCTGATTCTTTGGGGTTTGAGATCACCTTAAGGGTCTGTGCACACTGGCGTAAAAAAACTCTGCTTTTACAGAAACGTTGTGTTTTGCCTGTTGAAGCAGCTCAATGTTACCAGCTCAGTTTTAGAAAGATTTAGTTTATGGAAGAGGCGCGATATCCATGTTGATATGTCAGTCAGTAAGTTAGTATTACGAGGTGAGTCTGAAGGAGTGAGGTAAGGTGTAGAGAGATAGTTTTTGGGTGTCCTCGGCATAGATGATCTTTTTCTTCACTTTTAATGTAGCTGCTGGAGGAGGAAAGAAGGTGTATACTATACAGCAGGGGTCTCCAAACTTTCTAAACAAAGGGCCAGTTTACTACCTTCAGACTTTAGGGGGCCGGGCCGTGGCGAATGGGAGTAAACAATGCTCCATCATTGGTATTAGTGGGAGTATTAGTGCCCCATTGTTGGTATCAGCGGAAGGAATAGTACTCTATTGTTGGTATGAGTGGAAGGAATAGTGCCCTAACATTGGTGTCTGTGGGAAGAATACTGTCCCATCACTGGTGTCAGTGGGAGGAATGATATCCCATCATTGGTGTCAATTGTGGATGGAATAGTGCTCAAAGGGCCAGATTGAGGAAAGCAAAGCACCACATCTAATCAGGGTCATAGTTTTGAGACCACTGCTATACAGCATCACTTAATAGCGGAACTTCATTCTCTCAATCAACATGGACTATTTCTAATCCTTATGCTGCTAGCATTAGTAAATAGATGGGGAAGTATATCGTATTTACTTTTTTTAACTTTTTTTTTGCATTCCTTCATTCACTTCCTGATTTCCATGCCTAGACAAATGATGTTATACATCCCATGAGTCTTCAGGAGGGAAGGGTTCTCAGCTCAGCCAATGCCTGAGCTAACAGATGGATTCCAGGATGTAACCTCTACATGAATTATTTGCCCTTACTCAAGATGAAGAAAAATCTAAAAATGAAAGATACTTCAAGGTACCACTCAATTAAAACTATAGAAAGGGGAGGGCAGGGGAGTACTCCTCAAAAATGAACACCAAAAAACTCTTACATAAAAAGTATGGATTTAGCTCAATACCTCAACTCGAGGAATTTTCTAAATCATATAAAAAAATTATAAACAAAATTCTCCATACCGACAGATAACTGACTAATTAATTGTATTGATTAATTAGTTAAAAGCGAATACACATTGAATACATAAACACACTCATTAAAAGTTGTCAAGGCTCACGTCTAAAGATCAATTAGATATCTTCGATCAAAATGATACATATATAAGGTAATTATCGTATCTTCATATTATACCAGTTGGATACCAATAAAAGCTGAGAGCTCTCAGAACAAAAAGGGACAGTCATAGAGGGCAGATAAGGATAGAGAGAGTGGCCACTAGGTTTTTAATTAATGCACAGCATGCTGGACTAATATTGATCCCCGGTCAGTCCCATACACAGTTGACAAGAATGTATAATGGGTAAATTCCTAAATCTCCAGATTTGTTGACATATCATGGTTAAAGGTGAATGAACATAGTCCCAGTATTTTTACTGGAGATTATATCAAGTATGGTTCCAATTTCAATCCGGTTTGCAAACATTAATGGTAATGTATAAGGTGTGGCCACAAAATATCCAAGCCAGAGGAGTATTAACCATGCGTAATACTCTTATCCTTCTCTGGACCACGCATGGTTAATACTCCTCTGGCTTGGATATTTTGTGGCTACACCTTATACATTACCATTAATGTTTTCAAACAAGATTGAAATTGGAACCATATTTGATATAATCTCCAGTAAAAAATATACTGGGACTATGTTCATTGACCTTTATCCATGATATGCCAACAAATCTGGAAATTTAGGAATTTACTCATTATACATTCTTGTCAACTAAGTGTGGGACTGACCAGGCATCAATATTAGTCCAGCATGCTGTTCATTAATTATAAACCTAGTGGCCACTCTGATTGGTGTCCAATTGGAATAATATGAAGATACGATAATTACCTTTTATATGTAGCATTTTGATCGAAGATATCTAATTGATCTTTAGACGTGACCCTTGACACCTTTTAATGAGTGTGTTTATGTGTTTCAATGTGTATTGGATTTTAACTAATTAATCAATAAAATTAATTATAAGTCAAAGATATCTGTCGGTACAGAGAATTTTGTTTATAATTTTACATTTTGTATATATAATTTAGAAAATTCTTCTAGGGTTTAGGTGTTGAGCCAAATCCATACTTTTTATGCAAGAGTTTTATGGTGCCTTACTCAAGATGGTCACTGCCAGAAATGCCAGGAGGTGTTTTAAAAATGATTTCTCAGCAAAATGAAGCATGGAGACATAGATGGGTGAAAGAGGTTGTTTTGAATATTAAAAATTATTTATATAGCATTTTTGGTTTGTGGTACTCGGATTCAGTGCAGTTCCACTTTAAGTGCAGCTCTGAGTCTAGCGGATCACATCCAAAATAGCAGTGTTTAGCAGCAGTCTCAGGGCTTTTGTTGTTGTCTACACAAGGGGGAATTTTACAGGTAAATAGCCTATAATAAATGAAATACAGATACAATCTATGGGAAGATTTTTGCTGTAAATAACAGGCTTCCATTATGTATTTGATGCGTTTGGCGTACTATGGAGCAGGACACAACATATGCTAGCATGAAGTCAGACAGTAAACAGGGCAGTAACAACTAGAGTGGAGGGGGCATGTAAGCTAGAAATCTCAGATAATAAAGAACAGTAAATAATGCAGTAGAGATAAATAATTCAAAAGTTAAGCCTGCGCACTTACAATAATCTGAAAAGGATCATTTAGAATCTTTTAAAAGACCGACTTTGACTCTTGAAGAACTCCAGGAAGTACACACGTTTAAAAATGTGCTGGTTTATAAGGGGTTGTCCAGTGAAGTGTATGCCACCTTGTGGATTTATGTACAATTTACACTCAGAGAGGAATAGGAGTATAGCATTCTGACAGCAGATGCACCTCTGCTACACAGCCCCCTGTTGTCCATTCACACAATACCTTGTGCGCCGCAACTGGACAGGAAGAACAGAGGAGTAGGCAAAGCAGCTACACTACTTCTGTGGAAGAGACCTGAAGGTCCAGTGTTGGAGCACAGGAAGTATAGTGATAGCTATGCTCCTGGTGCTCTGTAAAAGTGAAAATGAAAAATTCAAGAAATAAGTCCACGAGGTGGCATACATTTCATAAGTCAACACATTTTTGTATACATTTCTGGAGTTATTCTTTAAGCTGAATAAAAAAAAAAGTTTACTTACAATTCATATGTTCATGTGCTGACTTATATGTAGAATTACTGAAGTCAAATGTGTGTTGCTCCAGATAGCAGTTTTTAGTCATGTTACTGACATATTCATAGAAATGGTAGTGTTGCAAGAGAGCTTCGACTGCAGCTTTTCCAGTTAATGCCAATCCTGTCTCCTCATCATGTATGCTAGGGCCCTGTAATAACAAAATAACAACCCTATAATGTACACACTGCAGTTTTGTTAATATAATAGCAGCACTTTGATTTTGGAGATGTATGCCGATTTCATTTTTTACCAGGAGAACAAAGTACAAAGTTCAGCCATCTATTTGTAATGAGTGTCAGTGGAACAGAAGATCATGTAAGAGATCAACGACCCTTGCTTTGGCTCAGGTTGGGTTTTACTCTTGGGTAACAAGGGCTAAGCACAACTCTAGATTGAGAACATGCCCTTGAAAGCTAATCAAACTGTTGAAGCAAAAGAACATCATCCTGATAGGCAATGTGAAACAATACTTTTCTTTATAAATGTAAATTATGTTCATTTTTCAGAAAATTTCCCTAGTATATTTGATTTATTTTAGTTTTTGTAGAGTCACTCCCAAAAATCATTTGCTTTTTAAATAATCTTTATTTAGAATGCTTTAGGTAAAACAAACTTTGCCATAAAAAAAAAAAAAAATCATCAGATACAAATACGACACGCACAAAATCCTTCTCAGCACCAAAGCTCAAATGAGTCCATTTTCTTTCTGCCCTGTTTTCATTGTGTCCAGCTTTCACAGCCATAATTGACAACTGAGAAGATGAGTGCATGGATGAGTCTAATCTTCGTTTTGAGTGTAATTTTTAATCTCCTGGAATCTTTCATAAACAAAGAAGCAAATAGTAGTGACAAGACACTCCAAAGAATAGCACTTGGTATCCACACAATGAAGACTCTTGACAAAGTATGTAAAAGTAATGACACTCAAAAGTCAAGATACACCTGGTTAAACCTACACATATTCCCTACCATCCTCACATTTCTTTTGTCCCATTGTGACTCACCGGGCATGATAGGAACATGCAGGAGGCAGGAAGAAGTGAGAAAGATGTGAGAAAGTAGCTTTGCCTTTCAAAAATGTACTGAATTTAACCTTGAATGTAAAAGCATTACAGTTTACTGGAGGCATATTCTGATATTTATAGGGTAAAGAGCAGAGAATGGTTACGACTCCTATGAGGTTTTGTTTACGGCTTGTGCTCCTTAAGGAAAATCTGACTTTACTCCCTGTCCAAAGGACATATCAGGAAGTAATAGGTCTCACTAAAGCTAGGAAATCTTCCCTCTTAAATTGGTCAAAGAGCCATTTTTTTGCATTCAGCCAGTGGGCTGAACAAAAAAAAAAACCCTAATAGATTCCTCCATCCACACAAAAAAGGTAAATGGACAAACTACCTCTGCTGGGACATTGTATTCTGACAGCAAGACCCAAATTTGCTGCAGCAACTGATCCAAACGTTTGTCCTCGCCTCCTGTTTCTGTGACAACTAAAACTGTTGGATGTGCCATCATTTTCTTTACTGAAACCAATGGTCACCAGGACTAATAAGGAGGGTTAATGTGGCAGAGGTCCTAACCCTTCCATATTTTGGAAAAAAAAACAAAAAAAAAAAAAAAAAATTTTTTGACTTTACATACAGATATTGACAATGCTCTTTAAAGTTTAATAAAATGCAAGGTTTATTTTTTTTTTTACATTTCTGAAAGATGAGCAAAGGCTAGTCCCTTTGTCAGATTTTTTATGGTTCTGTTGGGGTGCATCTCCCTCCCGTACTGTGTGTGTGACGTTTCCCATGCTTGCTTCCTCAGTTGAAATTTTCTCTAAGAGCCACACTCTTAGCTGACAGAGGTTCCAACACATGGCCACATGAGTTTGAGAAGGCATTATACTTTAGACAAAAAAAATAACAGCAGTGAATAACAGGATGACAAAAGTATCCCAAAAAGATAACGAAAATGTCCCTTACTGTCTTGAATCAGGAGGATTAACCGATGACCATATAAAACGGGTAGGTATTATTCTAGCTAATTGGCTCTGATAATTGCCAGAATACATTCTGATCAATTCTACTACTTGTTTAATAATTATGAGAGTTCTCCTTTGAAGAGAGAGCGCCAGAAAGATGAATAAACATTTGACTTTTGTCATAAATATCTAAAAAGGTACAGTCTCTTATTTAAAGTCTCAAGTTTTTTTTTACCTTCTTGCATTTTATGCATGAAGGTAAAAAAAATTCTATGTGTATCAGACCCTTCAGCACCCCTAACACTTACCCGAACCCCCTCTTGATCCATCGATGTCCACAAGAGTCTTGGCTCTCCGGGACTCTTACTCCTGACTGGCTGAGGCAGTCAATCACAGCCAGTGAGCCAATCAGGAGAGAGAAGAGGAGGGGGCCTGTGTAAATGGTCCCTGTGTGTGAAAGGACACTCAGAGCTGCGGCTTGGGAGCACGCCTGTATGGGTGCCCCCATAGCAAGCGGTTTGCTAAGGGGGCACCTGACAGGAAGGAGGGTCCAGGAGTGTTGGTGGGGAACCAGAGAAGAGGAGGATCCAGGCAGCTCTGTGCAAAACCATTACACAGAGCAGGTAAGTATGATATATTATTTTCAAGAAAAAAAAAACAAAAAAAAACTTAAGTATTACTTTAAAAGCTCACAAGCAGACATATACAAGAACTACAAGCAACACAGAATTCTGTGATAATCAAGCTGCAAGAATAGATGCATTTCTGGATCTAATTGTTTTTATATTCATTGTTTGTAGTAAATCTAAATATCCATATAAGATCTTAGCAAACTTTAATGCTCCAAAGGCCTGTCTACAAGCAATTCTGTTCTTCACTACACTAGCCATAGCAGATCATGTGATCTCAGCAAATCAAATGTCTGTTTAAAGGGAATTTTCTGGGTCAGGGCTCAACACATGTCTGAGGTTCCTTAAGGGTTCAGTTGCCACCTCAACTCTCACTTTACTAGTTGAGAGCCTATTCAAATCCTAGTTGACAAGAGCTATAACAGCAAATGAGCAGCAAAAAAATATCTCATTTTCTCAGGCATTACTTTGTAGCAAGTCAATTATTCAACTCCAACAGACAGGCCAAGTACATTGGACCTGCTTTTGATGGATTGTGCAGCTGTTGAATGCTAGAGATTGACCTGCTGTTAAGAATCATTGGAGAAAATAGATTTTTATTTTGCTGCTTATATTGAATATTTATAATTCATTATTATTAGGTTATATTAGGGTTTCTAGACATCTGTATTTCCGCATTTCATGGACTATACTAACCTGTATGTCACAACAGTAACAAAAATCCTTTACAAATGTAAAGCCATAGCAACACCTGACTAAAGCTGGCCACACATGGATCAAAATTTGGCCAGTTAAAAAACAACCAGCCAAATTTCAAACTATGTATGCTGGCTGCAGAAAAGACAATCTATCAATCGACTTCTGCACGACCAGCCTGTTAGTTAGAAAATTTCTGCATGATCAGTGCTGCAGGCTATAGCTGACAGCGCTGATCAGTGTATTCGAAAGGTAGGGAAGTCTCCCCGTCATCAGAATACAATAGCTCAGTAGGAGTGATTCCTTCATCCACCTCAAATTTGTGGATGGGGGGATTTTTCTTTGTCCAACCCAAGTAAGGAACAAAAAACACAATGACTAATGCATGGGTTGCCTAACACTACAGTAGACTCTGGGATGCAAGTTAACATGCTCACATCATGAATAATATGCTTGCTTGTTAATTAGTAACATGATCACATTTTCTTATGTGTGTAGCAGTGGAAATACAAACTCTGAAATATCACTGTTGTGAAACCACACAAAGTGCCAAAATAATGCAATTTTCTACACTGGAAAATAGCCAAAGCACAACCTCAAAGGCACACTATTTTAGAATATGGTAATAAAATACTGCAGCTGTTTAGTGTACTGTAAAAAAAAAAAAAAAAAAGAAACAATAGCTTTTTGCCTTTATACTAGAAATATAAAAAAAATTCAGATAAAATAATGTATCAGTACGAAAAAAAAAAAGTTGAAGATTTTACAGTTGCCCACTGAATAGCATTTTAAAAAGTGTCCCTCTCTGCCAAATAAGAATATCTATCTGCATTTTATTTCTTGAGTTTACATGTATCTTACAAAAAACACTTGTTTATTGTTTTATCTAAAACACATATCTATAAAGTGGTTGTAAACCGCACAAATAGATTAGGATTCTGGTGCAAATACAATGACAACAGCCTCAGTACTGGCGGTGCCTGCAAAGTCCACACATGTATGTGTGTAAAATCCTTAGTAAAATTGGGGTTCGTGAAGAGTACAGCCAGCTATCATGTGCAGAGTATAGCCAGCTCTGTACAGTGAGAAATGAGAGAGAAAAGGTGGCGCCTCCTTTTCGCTCTCGTAAACCTAAAAAAATGAATATGAATAAAGCATATCCCTCTATGGTGTATATTAGCCTCAATCCAAAGCACCTAGTGTGGCTCCTATCTGATCTCTCCTCCCTCTAATATCTGCATGAGTCACTTCTGATAGCCCATGCCTTAACTGTACATGTTTCCTTATGAGATTGTGCAGAAAAGGATGTGTCAATTCCCTCCACTCAAGTCACAGATTACACACAGCTTCATGCCATGCAGGGTGTGACCTCAGATCCCTGCCCCTTGCCTTTTGGAGCTGAGAAAAATCCTTTAAAATGCATGTTTTAGAAGGCTGTAGAGGATAGAGGAATTCAGATAAACAGGTACAACATAAGTAGGAGGATTTGTTCCATCTCTGTGCATCACTTGAAGCTAGTCACTTCAGTGGGCTTATGTAAGGGTTTACAAACACTTGAAAAGGTTCTCGCTTATACTTTTTTATCTTGTTACTGTAATGTAATGAGGTGCTTTTCCTCAATCACAGTGATTTCTGTTCATTGATTACAATCCAGTTTGTGGAGGTCAGCCTGGCCATCAAGGCACCCAGCCTTCATATCATAACAATCCATATCAGCCATATCAGCTTCATTGCAATTTCCTTGTGATGTCATACAGGCAAAAGGCCATCTTGATTGTTTGAATTATTATTATAATTATTATTTTCAAGAAGCAATGCTGAAATAAATTAGCATAGTGCCTCATTACATTTGAAAAA